ACCCTTAATTAGTATATCACAGTTGAACCATAATTAACTTACAGTCTCCATAAACTTATGACAACTTGGAGAATAACTAGCTCAACCCAAGTGAAGTATCATAACAACCACTACCAAACGGTCAAAAAGGAGTGAAAAATATCAAGACTATAGATGAGGACAACAAAGATGAAATGAAATAAAATTCACAATTTATGATTGTACCAAACTGAAGCAGAAGAATAATTAGAATGTAAATAACAAATCTGAAGCAGAAGAAGAAGAAGAAGAAATTGAAAATAGTTACCTGCTAGTATGCATGGAAGCAGAAAAATATTGCATAAACAGAAATTGAAAACCAAATATCTAGATACATAGAGTTCATTGGTCTAGAGTTGCTTGCCTCAGATAATGCCCTGAATACGCGATCCCTTGAAGAACCTAATTCATATGTTAACAAACCAATGATTTCACCTACCTACGTATATGATAATTATAGATAGATAATTTTTAATCAACCAATGATTTACTTTCAAAAAGTTCAATTTAGCTCCTCCTAGTACTACGCAAAAGACTTGTATGAACATAATCATATCATATTAAGATAAATTATATTTGGAAGAAAATTCTACCATAAATATTCCTTATTGAAACTAGGTAAGGTTCAAGTTGATGTTGCGATAAGATATTCAATGTCGTGAACAGAAGAGGTACCTGCAAAAAAAATTAGCACTCCAACGCTCAAGTTAGTAGATGAATAAGATGAAACTTAAAAAATATGAATAAAAGAATACCTGAATTTGACATGAAGTCATTCTTATATAATGGAGATGGATATAACTATCTTTGATTTGGTCAGTGTGAAATGTAGGCGACTTTATAGTTGTAGATCAACAGTTGAGAAGGAAGGGGGTCGTGTTCTTGTACGTTGTCCAAGAGTGAGAGTTCACTTTATTTTGCAAATTCTTACTAGATTAAACATGAAGATTGGGGAAAGTCTTAAAATAAAAACCTATAAGAACTGAATAACATCACCAAATCATTAGCATACTCCAAAGTTAAAACCAACAAATTCCAAATCAAACTTCATTCAGAAAACTAAAAAAATTAACCTCAAAAGATGAAGATAAAAATAGTATGTTTACTGTAGGATTAGGAATAGAAACAAAATTTGGCTTAGTAGCATCTAAAACACTTTTATTCATATTAGAAGAAGTATTACAAGGATAAACATTACAATGTTCAATAGAGTTTACTATAGGAACTGTACTTAGACAGAAAGAACCAGGCTTATTACAATTGCTATTCCTATTAGTTTGTAGCTTGGAAAGAGTAGGATTAGCAAATCTGTAGAGGCCATTAACTCCCACAGTGCCATGAAGAAGAATCTCAAAAGAATTCTGCAATTTGACAGAACAAAACTGAGGATGTAATTCAAAGAAAACACTATTATCTTGAGAAAACTTATTGATACTTAGGAGATTCTTAGTGATATGGGGTACAAGAAGAAGTTTATTTAGAATAAGAGTGGAATTTGACTGTGTTGGTGAGGGAAAAGGCATAGAACCTACCGAGTTAATTAACTAACCTTGGCCATTACCCATGTACACTTGTTCAATACCATTCAGAGATGAAGCATCAGACAAAATCGAAGCATCAGGTGTCACATGATGAGATACGCCAGAGTCAGGGTACCACCACTGATTACTGAAATTAGGATCAGAACCTGCAAGAAAAGCTTGAGGAACAGGTTGTCATGGTGGTGCTATAGCACGAGGAGGAGCATAGCCATACACACTTAGGAGATTCTCAGTGATATGAGGTACAAGAAGAAGTTTATTTAGAATAAGAGTGGAATTTGACTGTGTTAGTGAGGGAAAAGGCATAGAACCTACCGAGTTAATTAGCAAACCTTGGTCATTACCCATGTACACTTGTTCAGTACCATTCAGAGATGAAGCATCAGACAAAATCGAAGCATCAGGTGTCACATGATGAGATACGCCAGAGTCAGGGTACCACCACTGATTACTGAAATTAGGATCAGAACCTGCAAGAAAAGCTTGGGGAACATGTTGTCATGGTGGTGTTGTAGCACGAGGAGGAGCATAGCCATACACACTATAGGTAGGAGCACGAGGTGCCACGAAATAAGGATTGAATGGAGCTCTGGGAGTGTTGAACAAGGGAGTTCCAGGATAAGTATACCTGTGGTAGCATACAGACGCCTCATGACCAGATTTGTGGCAAATTTGGCATGGAGCTTTCCCAAATCTACCACCACGTCCGGAACGACCTCCACCAGCCAATTTCGTCTACCACGAGGTTCATAGCCATGAGTAATAGCGTTTGCAGTAACATGAATAGTACCAGTAGGGAACTCATAACCAGATTCCACACTATCAGTGGTGGACTATGACAAAGCTGGTGATGAAGCTGATTGAGCCAGATTCAGTGTAGCAGACTCAGTTAGGGCAGACTTAGGATTCTTCTCAAGGCATAATTCATGAGCAAGAAGACTCGACTCAAGCTCATCCAAAGAACACAAATCTTATTTGTTGTTGATCGCTGCTACAATAGCATCATATTCCTCCAAAAGTGCATCAAACACTATTTCAATTAGGTTTCGAAAGGGAACAGGATCACCGATTGAAACCAGAGCTTCTCTAATATCACGAACACGAAGAAGAAATTCCGTGATGTTGTGCGAACCTTTGGTTAGGTTGCGTAGCTCAGATCGAAGTTGTCTTACCTTCGTAGCTAGCAGAGTAGTGAAGTGACAGTGAATTTCAGTCCACACCTACCACAAATAGGTGCAATCAACCATTTTAGGAAGAAGATAATCGAAGATCGTGTTGAGAAGCCAGGTGCAAATAAGTGCATCCTGTTGTTCCCAATCGAGAAATGCCAGATTTTCGCCACCGGTAACAGGATCAGCGCCGGCGAGGAGGCGTGGAGATACAAGTGGCGTCGTGACGAAGCACTGAAGCTTGTGTCCTTTGATTACGCCTTCAGTTTTCTATTTATACTGTTTGAAATTCTTCTCATCAAGCTTCACCAAGATGAGATGTGACAGTTTGACATGCGAAGAGGAAAAGCTTCCCTCATAGTTGAAAGGAGATGCCATGGAAGCGCTAGATAGAAAAAAGAGCTCTACATACCATGTTAAGATAATAGAAAGCAAAGAAATTGTAACTGAATTGAGTTTCTATTTTTTGATCTGAAAACAGTTGCACGAGGAGGTGTCTTGAATCAATTGTCTTCAAAAATGGGAGGGTAAATTTTGGGGTACAACACCCACAAAAAACAGGCCAAAGCATAGCCAACATAGTAGATAATACAGGTCTAAAATTTTTACTTTTCCGCTAAAAAATGAGTGTCGGCCGAGGCGGGCCTGATATGCACTGCTAAAACTTACAAAAATTCACGTCCGTCTCGTTAATGCTTGCTTCTGAAAAAAATAGAAGAGATAAACATAATAGGGAGTGCGTGCCTAAAACCTAGATTTGCTCCGTAAAATAATGCAGACAAAATAAACATATTCGACAGGATCGGACCCGTTTTACCACCGGGAACCATTTGTATCACTAATTATTTAAATATTACTTACTTATTATTATTTTAAAATGATATCGAAAAATACTCAAGTTATCTCAACCTACGTTTTTGTTGTTGTTAGTTTTATTTTTTAAATTATATTATGAGTTTGTTTCAATAATATATAATTATATAATTGATAAATATTTTATTTGATTACAAATATGCAATATTTTCTCTTCTATGAAGTCCTTTCTCTTCTAAAGTCTATATTCCTGGTTCAACAACGACATTCAACATGATTTTGTTATGTGTAATTATTAATAAGTTGTTATACAATCTCCAACTTCTCTTTGCTTTTTTATTTAGTATCTTAAATTATTTTCAAATTTTGATGTATTTTGAAAATGGTCTAATCTATAAATTATTATAAATATATTTGTTAATAATTGTTATCCATCGATATATATTTATGAATTAATAACTAACATCCACAAATATAAATAGAAAATAATTATTTTTAACTAATAAAATCTCCGACTTCTGTTTGCTTTTTTATTTAGTATCTTAAACTATTTTTAAATTTTGATGTATTTTAAATATGGTCTAATCTGTAAATTATTATAAATACATTTATTAATAATTATTATCCACCCATATATACTTCTAGTTAATATCCACAAATATAAGTTGAAAATAAAAAATTTCAACTAATAAATATTTAATTATTATTATTATTATTATTATTATTATTATTATTATTATTATTATTATTATTATTATTATTATTATTATTATTAATAATAATAATAATAATTTTATTAGTTATATTACATGTTTATTTTGTTACTTTACTGATCAAATATTTCAAAAAAATTACAATTTTGTTTTTACTTTTTAAAAATAATTTATAATTATTTGAGAGTTATTTTTGAAGTAAACTCACATCTTGTTTTTCTAACAAAAAATGAGTATCAGAAAGAGTATTACAAGAAAATATTTTTAGTTTTTTTTAAAAAATAAAATAAAATAAAAATTTAAATTCATATTCTACAAAACAATATATACCTATTATTAGATAAATTCATTTTATAATAATTTAAAAATAAAACTCTAAATTTTGTTTTGGTTTAACTATATTGTTAGTAATAAAAGAACATTTTTTATTTATTATTTTGAATTTCAATTATAGCATTATATTTTCATTATAAATATACTAATTTTTATTATTGCAATCATAGTTTTATTCCACTTTATTTTGTTTGTCTATATAAAAATTTAATCTATATCGAAAGTAAACCACATAATATATATACTATTTAACTTCTTATAGAATTTAAGAGATTAACATTACCAATTAAAAATAATTTCAACAGCCCATTATTTAAAAAAAAACAAAAATATTCATCTATATCATTATCAGATTCATATCCCATACAAATTTCATATCTTATATTCTACGGGCTTCATGATGGTTGGTCTTAATGGTTTGCTTTTCTTGTTTTCTTGATCTGCTTTCTAAGAGGAGATTGTTACGGATTTGTTTATTGATATGCTTTTCGGATAGTAGAAATTGGGAATTTTTTGGATCATTAGACTCTTCTTTTATGGATCAATTCAATTATCAAGAATTTTTTGATATGATTCTTCATTGGATTATCAAGACATTCGTTTCTGTTTTGCAGCGAGTCGGGATTCTTGATGTAATGGATAAGAACAGAGAACGGTTAGAGAAATCAAATTTCATGGCTTGATGTTAGGGTTTGCTAATCCTCTTTTCTTAATGGATTTGTTTCGTTTTCTTAGATTGCTGATCGTGTTTTTTAATGGATTTGTGTTGCATCTTGATACGTTATCTGGATTCTGGTACGTTTTCTTAATGGATTCATTTTCTCAGACTGCAGACCGTGTTCTTCTTAGATTTTTTCTTAATGGATTTGCATTGCTTCTTGATACGTTTTCTCAGATCGATTGTTTTCTTAATGGATTTGCGTTGCACCTTGATACGTTTTCTCAGATCTTATGAAGTACACACATGAAACTGACTGATACGACACACACAAGAGCATAGAACAGTTCCAGATAGATAAATTAGATAAGCTGGCTTTTATTACAAGACATGCAAATTGAATTTTGAACATGTTTTCTACAGCTTGGTTTGTCAAAACAGTAACCTTTGACCACATGATTTCTTCGAGATCTATCTTCCTCAGTTTGGAGTTCATTTTTATTTTATCACCTTCTATGTATCAGTTTCATTTGGCTTACCAGCAGCTGGTATGCTGTTTTCTTGGCCAAAGTAGTTCCACTTTATTTGTGTTTTATAAAACATTGGACATTGGCATGTCCTATGATTCAAAATTGAATTTGTGAAAAGCTCTAAAAGCCATCATGTGAATGAAGTGTAGTTATAAAACACGACCAACCCTAAGTCTTCTCAAGACCAGGCTGTGTTCATGTAGGTTTGTTGGAATTATTTGGATTTCTTGATGTCTGTATTAAATAAAAATACCATCTTTGATTGCTTAATTAACGTGAGGGGAAAGACTACTCATTATTATCAGACTTCTTGTAGTCGGTGACAAGTCCAAAAATATTGAAAAAGGTCATGCGGGATTTATTGGATATGTGAGTTTATGACACCTAATTCCTTTCTAAATTCATCACTGAAATATTTTGTATTTTGTTATCAGATTTTCATGAGGCTTACTGTGTTGAAAAAATTAATTTCTTAGTAGCATCAAACCTTGGTTTTTTTAATGCGGTGACAATCACAATTACTGTTAACGTACCCGTATATATTTGTTCCACAAAAGTCCTCCCATGATTTCATGCACAAATTGCTAAACAGAATTGTGGAGTATATCTCTTCCTGCTACCTTCTCTATATTTCATCAATTTGTGGCCGTGTTTGATTTGATGATCTACATCTAAAGATAGTCATTCTTGTACTCTTTTACTGTATGTTTCTGTTATTTATCATGTATAGGAATAGGAATTCGTTTCCTCTAAGATTTTCATCAGGCACCACAATTCATTATTGGAGCTATCATGTTCTGCAGATTGTAAGATCTTTTTTAAGGAATTCGAGTCATGTACATTTCAGCCAGAGTTTCTAAAAATGTGTAATTTTAATTCTGTTTGATTTTTATCATTGTTGTTATTGGTCCTATCAGCGGGCTGTTAAAGTAACTGCTGAGATTTAAGTAAGATTATGTAGAAGTGTCGTTTCATTTCGTATGATAAACAGCGTGATTGAAGCTTTTGTTTTCGGTGAATATCTTCTTTGGCACATCTTGCAAAGTATCTCCATCCGGTGTTTGGTAAATTGTGGCTATTTCTAAATTTTAATCTGAAGATCTCTTTGTATCTAAAATACCGTATTCCTTGATAGGTTATTATTTAAACTATTCTGCAATTTTAGTGCATTTGTTATTTCAATTTCTTTTGTAAACGTTCAGTCTTTATTGTTTATGTGATTCATTAAGATTTTGGACATGTTATGTTGGTTGGGTGTATGATAAGTTATAATTATAATTCAAGTAGTTCTACTATAACTATTCTTATATGGTAAGTTATTAAGAATCTATTTGATGTTCATCTAGTTGAAATATCCAGAACCTTTCCCGATTTTTAATTCCCAAAATTATAACCAAGAATGAAATCATATAAATCTAATTTCTAAAATGAATCCTCCTTCATTGCTAATTCTAATTACAAGACATGCAAGTTGAATTTTGAACATGTTTTTCTGCAGTTTGGTTTGTCTTAATAATAACCTTCTTCAAAGCATGCACAACAGCTAGCTTTTTGATTCATTGATCTGTATTAAATTATTTTTGTTTCCAATCCTGAGAGCATATATTTCTTGAAGTTTGCCTTTTGATATTGTACAAGTTGTTGTTGAAGTTTGTGTTTCTTCTGGTGTTGAAGCTTTTGTGTGTTTCTATTGTTAGGGACTTATATCCTATAAAGCACCGAATCCGACCAAGATACGACATTGTCACTCCGACGTCGATAATGTCAAAAACATAGTACGTTGACACCACTACATATAAATGATAGTATTTAAATTTCATTTATCCATCTATTATTAAAGAGTTAAAAATCTCATAATTAAAATTATTCTTTAATTTTTCATTAATAATATTGCTTTAATACATATTCAACTTATAAAGCACCGAATCCGACACTAACACCAAGACACAACATCTTCACTCCGACATCGAAAATGTCAAAAACATAGTACATCGACAACACTACATATAAATGGTAGTATTTAAATTTCATTTAGCCATCTATTATTAAAGAATTAAAAATATCATAATTAAAATTAGTCTTTAATTTTTCATTAATAACATTGATTTAATACATATTTAACCTTTTAGATGTTTTGGGGAGATTCTCTAACTTCTTATTCTCTAACTTTTCCTAACTTTAGGATTATTTCATGAGAGAGAAGTGAAATAGAGGTGAACAAATGGAGGGAAAACATTAGAGAGAAATTGTGTTATTTTGAAGAAGAGCTAGTGAAAGGTAAGCTGCAGTTCCCTCAATAAAGTCAGAGGATCCACACTCGTGTGTTGAGTCTGGCTTTTCTTACATTTGTCTGACTTTTCAGACATTAAGTTTGTTGTTTCACAAAAACACTAATTTGTAATTGGCTGTGACATATATATTTTCATTGTTATCCTTTTATTTGGTGATCTCTACTCTGACTATGAATTCTTTATGTTTTTGTCTTTTGGAATCTAATTTTCTTTATACAACAGATAAGAACCTAAGAACTACTACAGAGAAATCAAATATTTTTAGTGATTTGTTCTTTGTTATTTTTTTTCTTTGTTTTGATGTCAAGACATTCGAATGAACTGTGAACATGTTTTTCATTTTGCTTGCAGATTTTATCAAATTAACAACATTTATTGCAAGAGAGCCTCATGTTTTGATTTGGCCCTCTCTTGTAAATTCTTTTTGTTTAATATTTCTTGATTCTTTCTAGAGCATAAGAACTTGTTATGTATTCTTTGGGGTTGCAGGAAAGGATGTACTTTTGATTCCTTGATTCTAATGTCTGTTTTCTATTTTCTCTATTTTTTGATTTCTTCTTTACTGGGCAGCTTTTTTTTTTGTTTCTTGTTTCTGTCTTTTTGGGTGTTCCATCTGAGTGTTACAGGATTGCGGAAGCTGTGGAGAACGACTCAAGATAAATCCAATTTAATCTAATTTTTCAATGATCCGTTGTTTGTTATTTTTAAATTTTTGGTTTGATTTCAAGACATTCCAAATGAACTGTGAACATATCTTCTGCAGTTCGGTTTTTCAAATTAATAACCTTCATTGCATGAGATCCTTGATCTTAATTAGGGCATCTTTTGTAGATTTTTTTAGTTTATAGTTTTTTGTAGACCATATATTTTTTGATTTGTTATTTACTCTTTTAAGTTGCCGGAGAGGATATGATTTTTGATTTCTTGACTTTTTATTCTCTGGTGTTGCAGGAGGGGATGTGTTTTTGATTTCTTGATTATAAAGTTACTTGTTCTTGTTCACACAATCATACTTCTCTCGACTCTCTTACACATTTGTTGACTAGACTTGTTTCTATTATTTATATTTAATTCTTCATTTAAATGCAGAATGTCTTGATACAACAACACGAACAGAAAAGCTAAATCAAATTTTTTCAATGGGTCTTTTTTTGCTATTTTTATTTCCGGCCTTTGATTGCAAGGCATACAAATTGATTTCTAAAAGTGTTTTTATGCAGCGTGGTTGTCCAACCAATAACCTCCTTCATAGCATGGAGCTTAACATTTTGATTTTTGATTTGGTGATCTCTATCAAATTCTTTTTATTTTCAATATTTCTTTATCGATTCTCTAAGAATATCTTCTTTGATTTGGTGTTTACTCCTTGGTGTTGCAGGATCCGCACGATTTCTTCTTGTTCTATTCTCCTCTTGTTTTGATGTTCATGGCTGTTGACTTTTTGGTTTCTTGAATCTTAGGTTTAATTTGTTTTGTTAGTTTTGACCTTGTAAGTTACTGTCCACTATTATTATTATTATTATTATTATTATTAGGGTCTTAAATGAATGTTCTTTAACGTCAACTATTTATTCTTTGTGTACATATGGGTGTTTTGTGTTTAATTTGTTGGCATACAAATTGATTTCTAAAAGTGGTTTTATGTAGCGTAGTTGTCCAACCAATAACCTTGAGCTTAGCATTTTGATTTTTGATTTGGTGAACTCTATCAAATTCTTTTTATTTCCAATATTTCTTTATCGATTCTCAAAGAACATCTTTGATTTGGTGTTTACTCTTTGGTGTTGCAGGAAACCACAGGATTTCTTCTAGTTCTATTTTCCTCTTGTTTGATCATCATGGCTGTTGATTTTTTGGTTTCTTGATTCTTTGGTAATGGCATGGAAAGAAGAAACCGTGGCCGTAACGGAGATTAGAAATTACTGCATTGAGAAAATATATACTGTGTTACAATACTAGATTATATTATAATTATTTTTAAGCGTTGATCTTTGTAATTTTCTCAATATATTAGTACTTGTTTTGAGGATCGTAATTCAAACAAGTAGATTAAATAAACAAAAGTAGATAAACATATAACTTAATTAGCTTACGTGGCAGGAACGGACATGGTGAAACCATGACGAAAACATGAGGACACTTTTTCATGTTGGATTATTAAATCATCATATATTAAATAAACAAAGAAGGTAACTTGATGGAACAACCAAAAGCCATTTCCAACACGCATATAGATATTAAGTTTCAATAGCAATTTCATAGTTGAATTTCATTTTCTTATGTGTGTGGTGAGTTTGGAGAATCTCCTTTATGGAACTTGAGGCCGCGATTGATCGGTTACCTATTGATTTATTGGCTCATATTTTTGTTCTCTTCACTTCCTTCACTGATTTGGCCCAGGAAGTTGATTTTTCACTTCATGGATTATATAAGTGCTTTTTTATTTGTTTTTATTCATGCTTGTGGTGTATATTGTTTGGTTTTGTAAGGGCTGGCAAGGTTTGCAAGAAATGGAAACAAGGGGTGAAGGAATCTCTAGCAAGGAAACAGAATCTTAGTTTTGCTGGTTGGAAAATGGATGATGATTCCACTTCTAGACTTGTTTCTCATGCCTACAACCTTAGAAAACTTGATATGTATGTTTTCTTTTCTTTTTCTAGTTATAGCTATTGATGATAAGATTAGTAGAATGTTTCTGAGTTCTGACAAATTGTTTTTTATTGTGTTTGTTTAAATATGAAAGTCAAAAGCTTAGTATCAACTTATGATGTTTGTATTTTTCAGACCGAGAAGCCGATGGAGTTGTCAAATAACAGATGCTGGACTCATCAGAATATCATATGCAAAGTGTATCGGCAATCTCACATCTATTTCGTTATGGGGTCTGACTGGTATCACAGATGAAGGAGTTGTACAATTGGTATGTCATTATCTATTTTTGATCCTATGGCCCTGCAGCCGCGTGTGCAGCTGCAGGGAATCTATGTTCGGGAAATCGAGGTTGTTTATTGTTCACAAACTAGATTGTAATAGTATTCTGGCATTTGCTACCATTTCAGACTAAACTATTGGAACTGAAAGGTTATAATGTGATTTCCTTTTGTGTAACAGATATCTAGAACTCGGTCTTTAAGGCATTTGAATGTTGGTGGTACATTTATCACAAATGGTATGTCATTATCTATTTTTGATCCTATGGAAGTTAGTGTCTACTATTATTATTGTAAGGAAGGGTTTTAAATGATTGTTCTTTTACGTCAACTATTATTCTATGGGTACATATGGGTGTTTTGCGTTTAATTTGTTGGCAGCACTTATTGGCAACTCCCTTGAGTTTTGGTGTGAATTTTCTGTCTAAGGTATTACAGATTGATATCAAATAATGGTAATGATTGCATTTATTGGCAACTCCCTTGTACTTTTTTCTGTTATGTTGTGTTTTGCAACAATATTGTTGTGTGTAGTATCAAGCAATATATAATCAAGTCATCAGATTTTTTTTTATAAATATACTCTTGGATGGAGAATTCTTTTCATTTCATTTCTTCTATATAGTTTTATTGCCCTGTTTTCTCGATTTACTCCTTTATGGTTTTGTTTTCTCGATTTATTCCTTTATGGTTTTGTTTTCTCGATTTACTCATTATGTTCTTCTTTTCTCGATTTACTCATTATGTTCTTCTTTTCTCGATTTACTCCTTTGCAGATTGATATCAAATAATGGTGATAATAGTTCAATCAATGATGTTAAAGTTAATCGTTCAGTGCTGTTAAAATTAAAAGAATATTGACATGCACTTATCTGTATTGCAGCGAATTGATTTCTAGGTATTTGGAGCAGTTTGCAATTCTTTATTACAATGGATAAGAACGATAATGGTTATAGAAAGGAGTCGTTCTTTATTAACTTTATTTTCAGAATTTGATCACGAGACATACAAAGGAGACATTCTTTGTTATTTTCATTGAGACTTTGATCACAAGACATGCGATTTGAATTCTAAACTAGTTTTTCTGCAGCTTGGTTTATCAAAACAATTTTCAATATAGCATGGAGCCTGAGTTTTTTATTTGTTGATCTCTTTTAAAATCTTAGTTTTCAATAAATCTTTATCCCTTTTGAAAGCATATTATTGTTGATCTTTTATTTCCTCTGGTGTTGCAGGAAAGGTAGTTCTGGAGCATATTATCTTCCTGTTTTGTATTCTGATTTCTTTCTGGTGTCTTGATTTTGAGGTTTGATTTTGTTTTGGCTTTTATCGCAATACATGTGAATTGAAATATGGCTCTAATTGCGATTTCACATGGAGCACCAATCTGCAATTGGATTTGATAATATATTATCACAGTTCTTATGTTTTTATCTGGTGTTCTATACTCAGAATATGGATTCTTCTCTTTTCTGTTTATCTTGGGATTTTAGTTTTCTTGATTCCTTAAATGCTATGTGGGTGTCAGAGAGTATATGGACTGTGAATAGTGAGATTATCAAGGACATGCTTTGACCCTAAGGATAAAACATGCCATTTTTTCCCTTAAATGTACTTGCTATGGATTGAAGTTATGTTTTTATGGTGTAATGTGGTAATGTTGGTGATTTCTGTGATTGTAGGAGAAAATTTGACCATGTGATTTCTTCGGGATCTATCTTCCTCAGTTTGTGAATTCATTCTTATTTTATCATCTTCGATATATCAGTTCTCATTTGGCTTACCAGTAACTCTACTCTGAAACAGCAGTTGGTATACTGTTTTTTTTTGGTATGCTGGTATACTGTTTCGTAAAACTTTGGACATTCGCATGTCATATGATTCCCCCTACATCAATGTATGACGAAGACTATCTTTGCAGAAATATTTGAGTTTGATGCAATGGATGAGCCTCCATCTGTGTTGGAAGTGGAAGTTTGTGATTTTGACAGACCCTTTGGCGAACCTCAATCTCTAGGACATGCGGAAATCAACTTCCTTATCAGCATGCCACACTAAATCAACTTCCTCAATCTTGCTGATTTATGGGTGTCTCTTGAAGGGAAGTTAGCTCTAGCATGCCACACTAAAGTGCACTTAAGAATTTTCTTGGACAACACTAGAGGTGGGAATGTCGTAAAACACTATATAAGTAAAATGGAGAAAGAAGGTATGGATCCGTTTGTGTTATCAGTTGTTTGGTAGTTTTTCTTCGTATATTATCGGTAAATCACTTTTCTTTGGCTTATTTTTCTTCATATATTTACAAAATTGTAGATTAGTTTGCGATCTCCTCAAACAAATTCAGCCTTTCAGAAACTCTTTGGACTTCCACCCGAGGAATTTCTCATCAATGATTTCACCTGTCATTTGAAAAGAAAAATGCCCCTACAGGTTTAACTATTACGTTCTGTGATTTCGTAAGTGGTCGAATTTTATTTTGGCACATGTTTCTTTATTAATATTATCTCATCAAGTTGCCTATGAATCTTGGCAGGGTCGTATATTTGTTTCAGCAAGAATAATGGGATTTCATGCAAATTTGTTTAGACACAAGACAAAATTCTTTTTGCTTTGGGAAGACATAGAAGACATACAGGTCGTTCCTCCTACATTTTCATCAATGGGCAGTCCTATAATTGTCGTAACTCTTCGTCGAGGGAGAGGCGTGGATGCAAAACACGGTGCAAAAACGCAAGATGAACAAGGCATACTCAAGTTCCATTTCCAATCTTTTTGTGTCTTTCAATGTCGCCAATAGGTATATGTTATGTCAAACTTTAGAGTTTTAAACATAGAACACAACGTCGAATCTAAAAATATATTCTTCTGCTAATGTAGGACTTATCATGGCACTCTGGAAGGCCAGATCTTTGAGTATTGAACAAAAGGTCCAATTAGTTGAAGACGATCCTAAAAACAAAAGTGTTACCAGCGAAGAGAGTGTAACATTAATTGGCAGCGGTGACGTTAGTATGTCTGAAGTTCAATGTTGTTCTCTTCAAGTTCCTGTAATCTCTCTATCTTTCTCTCTCGTTCCATTTTCTATTTATCGCACACATCACCGAAATCTGCATTTGATTATTATTTTAATTTTCTTTGATTAATCTAGGTCAGTTTCCTTATGGAGCTATTCAGTGGAGGTGAGTTGGACTGTAGGATCATGGAAAAATCTGGTTGTGCTAGTTATTCTTATACCCCTTGGGTATCCGAGGACAACAATGTCTATGAAAGGGCGGTATATTACAAATTTGAAAAACGTATTTCACGTTATAAAGTCGAAGTAACAAGTACTCAACAAAAATCTCTTTTGGACGGAAATGGTTGGCTTTTGGAAGCGCAAAAGTTTACATAATATTTGAGACATTTGGAAAAATTGGTGGACCTCTCTGTTATGCTGATCTGCAACTTGGTTTGGAGATTTATGCTATATTCTTTCTTTCTTCTTGGTTCTTTTTCTACAACCTATCTGTAAGTTTAATTTTTCTGTACATTTATTGTCTGTTGCTGACAGTAAGTTTGCTGTACGACAAAAGTTTTCTTAATTCTGAATCATATTCCCACCATTTTAGTTGGTCTATAGGGGAGAGATTGGAGATAAGTCTATCTGTTTCTTTGTATAAATTATCTCCGGTGAAAGAGTAATTAAGGATACATAACATTTTCTGATCACTGGGGTCTGTTGTTATTTCTGATTTATGATGTAGGCCCAATAGCTCCTTTGGTATTATGTGGAAGCTCTAACTGTCATGTTTCAAATTGGGTACAATACAAGTACTAGCAAAAATTGGCTGGAAGTTTGTGTCCGGGAACTTCCCCATCATGTCTTCAGAGGTTATGTTGCATTCTTTAATTTGGTCATTTCTACTAAGAAACACAATTAACATTTCAGTGTGTTTGATAATCGACAATTTTGAATTCATTTGAATTTTACGCGAGTCTTATAGGGGAGACAGAGACAACCTATGAAAGTGCTGCGGCCTGTGGCCAGAGGCAACAAAGGTTAACATACTATTCTTGTAACATTGGGATACAATCCTTCTTTTTTATGATATCTGTATTTTGTTTGATTCTGTGCTATGAGAGTGTTGGAGTTTTTGTATTTTTGCAGCAGAAGCATAATATTGAAGCATACAAGATTCTAGACTAGATTACATCTTTCTGCCCAAGCCAATGAATACTTGACAACTTGGTAGGGCTCACTTTTTTTTCTGATTGTTACCACTCTCCCAAATGGATATTTGTCGAAGTGGGGAAGTCTAAATTTTTTCTGTTACACATGGAGCACCAATCTGCAATTGGATGTGGCATATATTATCAGTTATTATGTTTTTATCTGGTGATCTATACTCTGAATATGAACTCTTCTTCTTCTTCTTCTTCTCCTGCTTCAGATTTGTTATTTACATTCTAATTCTTCTTCTGCTTCAGTTTGGTACAATCATAAATTGTGAATTTTATTTCATTTTATCTTTGTTGTCCTCATCTATAGTCTTTATATTTTTCACTCCTTTTTGACAGTTTGGTGGTGGTTGTTAGTTGGTTTTCAATTTCTGTTTATGCAATATTTTTCTGCTTCCATGCATACCAGCAGGTAACGATTTTCAATTTCTTCTTCTTTCCTGCTTCATATTTGTTATTTACATTCTAATTCTTCTTCTGCTTCAGTTTGGTACAATCATAAATTGTGAATTTTATTTCATTTTATCTTTGTTGTCCTCATCAATAGTCTTGATATTTTTCACTCCTTTTTGACAGTTTGGTGGTGGTTGTTATGATACCTTACTTGGGTTGAGCTGGTTATTCTCCAAGCTGTCATAAGTTTATGGAGACTGTAAGTTAATTATGGTTCAACTGTGATATACTAATTAATGGTCTTATTTATTTATTTATGATATAATCATGATAGATAATTATTTAAATATAATTTAAATATGAAAAATTTGAATCTACATGTATTAAAGTCCATCTTTCATACCTTCAAAGAAGACTACATTTTATTATTCTTATGAACCAAATAAGAATTTTTTGAGATATAAATTCTGTTTATCCCAATTTACATTAGATCTGATACACAACAAACCTAATTCTTTGGTTTTCTAGTTAGTTTCAAATCTGCCGGGTACTCTAGATTCTTGAAGATTATGTTTGTGTTTATTCTCTTGTGATATTTGTTGGTCATTTCAGGGTAGATAGTATTAGAGATAACTATAGGTTACTCTTGTTTTTCTGTATAGTTAGATTGATGAGCTGACAAGTCTGTTAGATCTAACTTGCTGAGCTGTCATAGATCATAGATCTAAGCCTATATATAATTCTGTTGCAACTGTTTTCAGATCAAAAAATAGAAACTCAATTCTGTTACAATTTCTTTGCTTTCTATTATCTTAACATGGTATGTAGAGCTCTTTTTTCTATCTAGCGCTTCCATGGCATCTCCTTTCAACTATGAGGGAAGCTTTCCCTATTCGCATGTCAAACTGTCACATTTCATCTCGGTAAAGCTTGATGAGAAGAATTTCAAACAGTATAAACAGCAAATTGAAGGCGTAATCAAAGGACATAAGCTTCAGCGCTTAGTCACGACGCCGCTTGTATCTCCACGCCTCCTCGCCGTCGCCGATCTTGTTACCGGTGGCGAAAATACGACGTTTCTCGATTGGGAACAACAACATGCACTTATCTGCACCTGGCTTCTCAGCACGATCTCCGATTGTTTTCTTCTTAAACTAGTTGATTGCACCTATTCGTGGCAGGTGTGGACTGAAATTCACCGTCACTTCACTACTCTGCTAGCTACGAAGGCAAGACAACTTCTATCTGAGCTGCGCAACCAGACCAAAGGTTCGCGCAACATCACGGAATTTCTTCTTTGTGTTCGTGATATTAGAGAAGCTCTGATTTCAATCGGAGATCATGTTCCCTTTCGAAACCTAATTGAAATAATGTTTGATGCACTTTCGGAAGAATACGATGCTATTGTAGCAGCGATTAACAACAAAGAAGATTAGTGTTCTTTGGATGAGTTTGAGTCGAGTCTTCTTGCTCATGAATCGTGCCTTGAGAAGAATCCTAAGTCTTCCCTAACTGAGTCTGCTACACTGAGTCTGACTCAATCAGCTTCATCACCAGCTCTGTCACAGTCCACCACTGATAGTGTGGAATCTGGTTCTGAGTTCCCTACTGATATTATTCATGTTACTGCAAACGCTGATACTCATGGCTATGAAACTCGTGGTAGACGAAATTGGCGTGGTGGATGTCGCTCCGGACGTGGTGGTAGATTTGGGAAAGCTCCATGCCAAATTTGCCACAAATCTGGTCATGACGCATCTGTATGCTACCACAGGTATACTTATCCTGGAACTCCCTCGTTCAACGCTCTCAAAGCTCCATTCAATCCTTATGTCGTGGCACCTCGTGCTCCTACCTATAGTGTGTATGGCGATGCTCCTCCTCGTGCTACAGCACCACCATGACAACCTGTTCCTCAAGCTTTTCTTGCAGGTTCTGATCCTAATTTCAGTAATCAGTGGTAGTACCCTGACTCTGGCGTATCTCATCATGTGACACCTGATGCTTCGATTTTGTCTGATGCTTTATCTCTGAATGGTACTGAACAAGTGTACATGGATAATGGCCAAGGTTTGTTAATTAACTCGGTAGGTTCTATGCCTTTTCCCTCACTAACACAGTCAAATTTCACTCTTATTCTAAATAAACTTCTTCTTGTACCTCATATCACTAAGAATCTCCTAAGTATCAATAAGTTTGCTCAAGATAATCGTGTTTTCTTTGAATTTCATCCTCAGTTTTATTCTGTCAAATTGCAGAATTCTTTTGAGATTCTTCTTCATGGCACTGTGGGAGTTAATGGCCTCTACAGATTTGCTAATCCTACTCTTTCCAAGCTGCTAACTAATAGGAATAGCAATTGTAATAAGCCTAGTTCTTTCTGTCTAAGTACAGTTCCTATAGCAAACTCTATTGAACATTGTAATGTTTATCCTTGTAATACTTCTTCTAACATGAATAAAAGTGTTTTAGATGCCACTAAGCCAAATTTTGTTTCTATTCCTAATCCTACAGTAAACATACTATTTTTATCTTCATCTTTTGAGGTTGATTTTTTTAGTTTTCTGAATGAAGTTTGATTTGGAATTTTTTGGTTTTAACTTTGGAGTATGCTAATGATTTGGTGGTGTTATTCAGTTCTTTTAGGTTTTTATTTTAAGACTTGCCCCAATCTTCATGTTTAATCTAGTAAGAATTTGCAAAATAAAGTGAATTCTCACTCTTGGACAACTTACAAGAACACGATCCCCTTCCTTCTCAACCGTTGATCTACAACTATAAAGTCGCCTTCATTTCACACTGAACAAATCAAAGATAGTTATATCCATCTCCATTATATAAGAATGACTTCATGTCAAAGTCAGGTATTCTTTTATTCATATTTATTAAGTTTCATCTTATTCATCTACTAACTTGAGCGTTGGAGTGCTAAATTTTTTTGTAGGTACTTCTTCTGTTCACCACATTGAATATCTTATCGAAACATCAACTTGAACCTTACCTAGTTTCAATAAGGAGTAATTATGGTAGAATGTTCTTCCAAATATAATTTATTTTAATATGATATGATCATGTTCATACAAGTCTTTTGCGTAGTATTAGGAGAAGCTAAATTGAACTTTTTGAAAGTAAATCATTGGTTGATTAAAAATTATCTATCTATAATTATCATCTATGTAGGTAGGTGAAATCATTGGTTTGTTAACATATGAATTAGGTTCTTCAAGGGATCGCGTTTTCAAGGCATTATCTGAGGCAAGCAACTCTAGACCAATGAACTCTATGTATCTAGATAGTTGGTTTTCAATTTCTGTTTATGCAATATTATTCTGCTTCCATGCATACCAGCAGGTAACGATTTTCAATTTCTTCTTCTTCTTCTGCTTCAGATTTGTTATTTACATTCTAATTCTTCTTCTGCTTCAGTTTGGTACAATCATAAATTGTGAATTTTATTTCATTTTATCTTTGTTGTCCTCATCTATAGTCTTGATATTTTTCACTCCTTTTTGACAGTTTGGTGGTGGTTGTTAGTTGGTTTTCAATTTCTGTTTATGCAATTTTTTTCTGCTTCCATGCATACCAGCAGGTAACAATTTTCAATTTCTTCTTCTTCTCCTGCTTCATATTTGTTATTTACATTCTAATTCTTCTTCTGCTTCAGTTTGGTACAATCATAAATTGTGAATTTTATTTCATTTTATCTTTGTTGTCCTCATCAATAGTCTTGATATTTTTCACTCCTTTTTGACAGTTTGGTGGTGGTTGTTATGATACCTTACTTGGGTTGAGCTGGTTATTCTCCAAGCTGTCATAAGTTTATGGAGACTGTAAGTTAATTATGGTTCAACTGTGATATACTAATTAATGGTCTTATTTATTTTTTTATGATATAATCATGATAGATAATTATTTAAATATAATTTAAATATGAAAAATTTGAATCTACATGTATTAAAGTCCATCTTTCATACCTTCAAAGAAGACTACATTTTATTATTCTTATGAACCAAATAAGAATTTTTTGAGATAGAAATCCTGTTTATCCCAATTTACATTAGATCTGATAC